GATTTGTTTCGATAATGTATAGGAAAAGAAAAATCTGAAAACCAAGATGTGCCAATTGCAGCAATATTAGTACCTGTTGTGGTCATGKCAGTCGTTCTAATCGGAGTGGGTATTCTGTTTTGGAGATGGATGCGCAAGAAAAAGGAAGAAGAGAAGGAACTTAGAGAAAGAATTCAAAGAGTAAGAGTATAATCAAGGGTAGAACTCTCACTTCTTCTCCTTTTGCTAAGGATTTCAATCTTGCAATTTTACTTGTTTTTATAGCTAAGTGAAAACCCATATGAGTCAGCAGTGGACTGGTTTGATCTACTAAAAATTAATGTCATCAAGCAATGGTGGGAGATTCCTCGTGATGATTTGACTCTTGAAAACGTTCTCGGGTCGGGTGCCTTTGGTGTTGTAAAGAAAGGCTATTTGAAGAAGGGAATCAAAGGGAAAGGAGATGATATCATGCAATGTGCTGTCAAGATGTTGAAAGGTACGTAAGATACTTTATTTTATTTTTTGCATAGCACATGCAACCGAAAGTACTCCCATATAGCTTGAAAAAGCACACGGAACACTGCTTTTCCACACTCCCCTTCGGTTTTAGCCTTTATGAGGTAACCTCTGCTTTAAACTCGTTCTTATTACATTTCGTCTTTAGAAAACCCATCTGAACGTGAGTTRCGCGACTTATGCAGCGAAATTAACATAATGTGCAAAATTGGAGATCACCCGAACGCCGTGAGCCTTATTGGTGCGTGCACGATTAACGGTGAGTCAAGTCAGCAGTTGAATAAAGTCACATATAAAATGTCAAGGAGTTACGACTTTATTTATTACAAAATATAGAAAATTCATAAAAATATTGCAGGCAGTAAAACTTAAATTATTGTTACTTCAAGGACCTCCTTTGCTTGTGGTGAAATTTGCCCCAAATGGCTGCCTCCTTGACTACCTCAAAGAAAACCGGCCATTACCTGATTATGAAAACCAAAAGACAGATCGTAAAGTAATCAGCGAAAAGGAGCGACTGACGTTTGCATACGAGATCGCTCAAGGGATGTCACATCTTGAAAAACATATGGTATTGATATGCGAACCATATGTTGTTAATTTTCAATGTGCACAGTTTAAATGTTTTTTTAAATGTTCTTGAATTTGCTTCGCAACATGCTTTGAGAATGAAACCGTCGGGGGACTATTTTATAAGGCGTATGTACACCGAAGCTCCTCTCAGTTTTTCACTTATGASACTATTTTAAGTATTAATACACTTTAATAATTAAACAAAGGTAAAGGTATACACAGAACATTTTTGAATCTTTCCCAACACTGCCAAATATTGATTGCCTTATCTATTCTATCAGTATGTCCACCGTGACTTAGCTGCTCGTAACATCTTGCTTGGTAAGGACATGAATGCTATGGTTTCGGACTTTGGCCTATCACGAGACATTTACGATGTTGGGATATATGAGAACACAGCAGGGGTATGTACACCGAAATAGTACTTTTACCATAACCCGTCTAAGTCATATGTTAGTGATTTTTAGGATTTATTNTGTAATGTAATGTAATGTAATGTAATGTAATGTAATGTAATGTAATGTAATGTAATGTAATGTAATGTAATGTAATGTAATGTAATGTAATGTAATGTAATGTAATGTAATGTAATGTAATGTAATGTAATGTAATGTAACAATGGAATTACGAGTCAACCAATTGGAGCACACAATAGAACTCCGATCTAAACCAATTGGAAGCCACGATAGTCTCATGGTCCTGGCATCACAAGTCGCTTGCGAGACGTCGAAGTACGCCATAGCTAAAGGAAGAAACTGTTGAAGTTAAAGTACTGAGAAGACCATAAACGGTGAGTAAATTAGGTCTCTGTTCCTTCATTTGGTTGTATTGACCTGTGCACACTTCCTAAGAGTGTTTTTAGTCAATCCTCGAACCAGCGTGTTCAATAAACTTGAGTACCAAAACGAACCAACGCGTTCACGAATAAGCCAGCGTACACTGCACTATTTTACAAACTGTCAGTTTTAAAACAAACAAAACTATCTAACAAGAGCACAGAGTACATTTCATTGAATTCTCACATTGAGTTAAAGTACTCATTTATTGGTCAGTGCCATTTATGATTTACGGCACAACGAACAATTGCTTTCAGAGAATAGCTATCCGAGATATCCTTGGATATCCATGTTCAGTGGGAAGACTATATGACTAATACAATTTGATTGACTAAAAACTCTCTTAGGAAGTGTGCACAGGTTAGTACAATAAGCTGAAGGAACAGAGACCTAATTTACTCACCGTCTATGGTCTTTTCGGTAATTTAACTTCAACAGTTTCTTCCTTTAGCTATGGCGTGCTTAGACGACTGGTAAGCGACTTTGGAAGAGTCTATAGGCTACTACAAATCATTAACATTGCAATGATATCTTGACCGAGTCTACATAAAAATCTGACGCTTATAAAAAACTGACATCATAGAGGAGACCCATCCAGGATAAGATCGAAAAGACAACAAACTTCACATGACGCTAACTGTTTTCTTAGTGACATATTTCATCTATTTGTTAATGTCGCGCTAAATCCCCTTCATGACAATTTCTGGAAAACATCATCTGCTCGTTGGCACTTAGCGGTAGATATGACTAGTGTAAGATTTAGCCTCCTCCACGGGCATCACTAAGAATCACGGCCTTCCTGTCTTTTTGAGAAGTCAAAAGAGGGAGAATGGGGGCGAGAAAAGGGGAGCGTGTTTGCTATCTCGTCACTAGTCCCTAACGGCCAAAATGACCGTTACAAAGGAAGCCCAAAGGAGGAAAAAAGAGTTGCCTGTGGAGGAGGCTATGTAAGATTATATATTTTCTTTGATATGAGAGCGTGTAAAATGGAATAGTCTCCTTCACGGTTACATACGCCATCTTGAAAGGTAGTCGTGCCTTTGCATCGAAGCGAGAAGACCGTTGAGCCTGCAATGATAGAAACCTTTTTTCACACCTACAGACAATTGTTCACCTTTATCTATCATTGCACGCTCAACGGTCGTCTCGCTTCGATGTAAAGGCACGGCTATCTTTCAAGATGGCGCAGGGAACCGTGAAGGAGACGTACCATTAGTCAATCAGCGCCAATAATTCACGCAAGCGTGGTGTAAATGCTAATTGCATTATTTTTTTTTCAGGGATATGACGAAGTTGCCATGAAAGAAGATCACGCTTACGACATGGTAGAGATAGAAAGCAAAATGAATGAATCTTTTGACAACGARGCCATTGAGCTAAGTGAAGTTTACCCGGAAGAAAATTAGAACACGGTCGCATGACGGATTTAGTAACATCACCGACATTTTTTTTTTCTTAATATGGCATGATGCTGTTATCATATACATTTATTAAATTATGTTACTTGGAAGSCAACACAAGTAGATGAACTTGGTTTTGGTGCTTAGATGGGAGGTGAGAAAAAAGTATGCGGATCCAAGTGGTTACATAGGAACCCTGTCCTACGGATCGGAATACTACATTTACCATTGCAATCTTTTTCCACCCAACACAAAGGAGCGAGGAGAAGGGAGTGAGGATAAAATTTCAAAATAGAGTACGAACACCCCATCCACTGTTGTGAAACTCATTCGATCAATGAAAAACCTAATAATTATAATAATTATAATTATAATATTAATGTATTTTAAAAGCATTTTAGCAGATATCTAAGCTAACACATTTACGCTATACATCATACTCGATAAGAATTTAATATAAAGTCGAGCTTTACTTCACAYATTGTTTGGACTCCGAGACGGTTAAGAATAAAGACTCTATATAGACAAAAAAGGAGAAGTGAGCCAAAAAGGTGAGAAAATCTCCACTCACTACAGCACTATGAATCGTTTTAATTTTTCCCTTTAATTGAATGTGATTCTTAACATTTTAGTGGCACACTCCACAGGATTTCTTACACATTACTTTCATGTATGCAGGGTTCTTTGTGCACTCTCCGATATCAGCCCATCCTTTGCAACTAGTATTGTTATCATAGCAAGTTTCCCCTAATGGAAAAATGCATACAAAAGGAAAAGTTAAAACAAAGGATGAATATGAGAAAATTGAACATACCGAAACTGCTCAAAACCTTGTAATATTTTTTTAAAAATCCTATCTTCTTATTACTGTTTAAAATTATTTCAAAATTATTTTAAAGCAGCATGTCGCAGATACGATATTCTACTTACCTTGACATATTTTGCAGCTTCTCGCACAGTTTTTATGCATGTAGACCGTGTTTTTACTGCATTCTCCAATATTTGCCCAGAGAGGACATTGAACCGGATCGGTGTCTTTACAATCTTGATTGGGTGTTGGCTTGGGCGTTGGTGCTGGTGTTGCAACTGATGTTTGATCTTTGAAAAGCGAAATAAACTATTTATCCACTTCTCTTCTCTTATGTCTTCTTTGTTTCTTTGATCGAGTTTTTAAAGCTTTAAAAAGCTTTGGAACGTATAGAAATAAATATAATACTACATTATTACAATGCTGCCTTGTGAATAACCACATAGCGCCAATACAAAGGTACGCCAGGCTGGTCTATCAACATGAGAAGCCACAACTACCTCTTCTAATTGAATTGTACACTGAAGCTCACTCGTTACACTGTCCTGACAACGTATGTAAACTGGCTTCCAAGCCGACGGTGACCATACGGGCTTACGAGCTCCAAAAGAGGAGTTTTCTGAACAGACGTGACATAGGTACAACTGACGTAAGACATTATAAGATAGTTCGTTTTAAAAGAACTCACCATTGCCACATATCTTACAGCTTCTTTTGCAATAGCTTGACATCCAAATCTTGTTCTTATCGCATTCTCCGTTTATTGCCCAAGTAACACATGCAATGTACTTGTCCTGACATGCTTATGAATGAAATAGAGATTTATACACATTACAAATAGATTCCTTTACGGTAGATATCAGCTTTCTATTTTTTCTAATTTTCCATTGTTTTGTTGACGTTGTTGTAGTTGTGTTTTTTTTTTGACTAAAAGAATGCATGCTGAAGTTTATCAAATTTTGTATTGGTATCTTAGGACCAAAATAACACAGGCCAAATTAATTTTCCAACGGAGAGCTAAACCAAATTCCTTATTTTATTATTAATCGTATTACTTTTTACTCACTTTCAGATACAAACACTTCTCAAATCTTTTTAAAGATTGAAATCTTTAATGACYGACCCCTGTGTCATGCTGTGTCACTAATTAACGTGATCGTAACCTTTGTTCTTTCCAAGTCAAAGGTGTTCTTCCTTCTAATAATGATCGTGGCAACGTTGTAACACTTGTCCGTACATTGACTTCGCACACTCCATTGTTGGTTCTAACTCATCACTCAGAAGCACTGATCATTTTGAATGTATCACCTCTAATGYTGTCGATTGCATTAAAAGTTCGCTTTGTAATTTGTTGTATATCAGTGAGACTGGCCGTCGTCTTGAGGATCGTATACGTGAGCACCTTTATAATATTCGTTACAATGATCTTAATAAATCTGTTAATTTCCCTCCACTTTATAAATTTATCTAACCATTCTCTTTCTAACTTCATTGTTTTTGGTTTGTCTTTGATTAGCGGCAACAATGATTGTCATGAAATCAAAGAAATGCTGCTTATTCACTTATTGGGCACTTATGATCCAAAAGGGGCGAATGAACGCTTTTTTAATATCTTTTGTTCTCTTTTYTAGCACCTCTTGTGTTATTTTCTTTAACACATTATTGTTTATTTCACGTTACCATGCCTACCTTGTTCCTATTGGTCTACTTTTCTTTGCTCCTCTTATTATATAAACTCTGTCTTAGCCTAGTTTCATTTCTTTACTCTGACAGCGGATTAACGTCCCAAACGTCATTAAGTTGTTTCACCTATTTTTTTACGGTGTTTAATTTATCTTATTATGCAACCTGGACTGAGCATAAAAAGACGAAATTGCGTGAAATTATATGAAAATGTGAAATTATTTAAAAAAATAAATTTACTGTTCTTAAAATTGTTTTTAAAAACACATTTTAAACTCCAACATAACTGCACAAAGTTTGATATACAAGTTGTGTGGGTATATATTAAATAATAATATATTAGTACTAATAATAAACAATTTTTTGAGTGAGGATAGCGTGATAGTTACTATGGTAATTGTCATCATGATCATATTATATACACAATGTATTAAAAATAAAAAAAATATAAAGATATAAATGACAATATTAGAAAAATCTAATCACTCAAAGTTTTGTCCAAGAAAAAAACTTTTAATATTTAGGAAATAACTGTAGTAAAAAAAATGCTCAGCTTTAGTGATCCTCTTTTGTCTTTTAATGTAATCCTAAGTTCCTCAATCCTTAAATCTCAGGGCAACGTTTTCGTAATTAGGTGTAAATATTCAAAAATCCAATCATATAAAGCATCTATGGATACTTACAGCATAATCCATCGTCAATATATACGTCATCTATGGCGATGTCTGAGTATCCTGTATGGCCAACTGTGGCAATAATCTCAAGCTAATGACATTWAATGTACACAAGTAAGTTAAAAATTGCTTTAATARATTATTTTGATGGATAGGCATGAAAGAGCCATTTTTGGTATCTTGGTTGACTGACGACGAAGCTTATGAAAAACCATAGATCATTTTGTTTTATCGAACGTTTCTTTACTGCTGTACAAAATTAAGTTTTTGCACTTGAACGCCCAAAATGGGTTGCAAATTGAAAATCAATCAATTGTCTATTATAGCAAACTAAGAATAGGATCTGCCGCAACGATTTCCTTATATGGATGTACATATATAGGGCTCTAAGACTATAATGTTTATAAAGAATAAGGAAACATTCATTAATYTTATGTACATACACGTTGTCATCAATGAAAATCTTACCTAAAGACCTCTATAAATGGCTAAAAAATGGCTAAAAAGGTCCTGCTTGTCGTCCAAGCAATTTCGTAAAGATTTCGTAATGATCTATCTTATCGGGAAAAGTGTAGACATAATAAATACAGATGAGACTAACCTTATATCCAGGCATTGTGGGAAAATTCAGTGAAATGCTCGTCGAGTGCCAGAGATCGCCTTGATCTCCAGATTKGTAAAAAAGACTAGCTTGTAGAGYATTGTAACGCAATTTGACTTCCAGAGATCCCATAGTTCCGCCGTACATCGAGTAGGCAAACTTTAAGCATTGTCCGCCTTGTTTGGGCGTCATTGATGGGCTAGTCAGTATTGCTTTGTAATTGCTCTGGGCCGGTGTGGATGACTCCATATATAGATAATACCCTGAAAGAAACATGTGTTCTTGCCATCATGTATTATAACAATTTTGATCTAGCTATTATAGGATGCCTGAACTTTCTAACGATGCTYATCGAGAGATCATGAATTATGTGTCCACAATATTTAAACGGCATGATAGACTTCACGATTATTGCCTGAACATCGCATGCAAAACTACCAACCTCCTTACAATATGGCTACAACTATCGTGGACCTAAAAATTATTTTGAATCTCCACGACAGTTGCAAAGACAGCTTGCCTAGGTTGCATGCTATAGCTGTAGGCAAAAGTTTTGTCGTTTAATTCGGCCTTAGCAGACCTTTCCTTAGCAATTTGTCAAGAAATCTAGTCAGTCTCAACGTAATTTGCAACGCCTTCCCTTCAACTGTTTTTGACAACCAAACCATAATAGAAACAGTTTCGGTTTGGCATTGCCTATGTATATTAGCCAATCCATTCAGTCATATTTTTGCACCTTTATTCTAAAAGAAATAACATTCTTTACCGCTGCCTGTTGTATGGTCCCTCATTGGTCCTGTATGTATTGTCTGGGTGAAATCTTTGTTTCTTTTCCAATATATATCAGAACCAGGTTTGTTCTTCCACATTCCAAAAGGATTAAATGGATCTTCAAAATCAGTGTCATCATAATCTGAAAGAAAAAAAGAGATAATGAGTTTATATAGTCCCAGGGGAAAATTTTGCATGTTTTTATCTATACAAATCATATATTGCCCSATGGATTTTATTTATGATGTATTCRGATGTATTCGGACGTTATAGCCCTGTTGGTCAGGGAGAGGCAAAATAATCTGAAAAACACGGAAACACGAAAGAAAATTGCATATACACACTTTCTAGCACTGTGGTTTSAGCCTTTTTTCCTAAGCACCAGTCACAAAAACAAACATAGAATGATTGGAGCACATCCAGCCAGGTGCTAAATCATTGAAGAAACTATACAGTACTATTCATGCATACACCTATAATATATCACATTCATAAAAAAATATTTAGCAAACATGCAAAATTGACCTCACCCTTATGACATCTTGCTACGGTGCAGATGTTCTTCTCACTTGCACTTCCAGCACATGGTTTGCCGTATTTTCCTGGTACTGGGTTATCACACTTTCTATAACGCTCCCTGACACCGTTATCGCATGTAGCAGTGCATTTAGTCCATTTACTCCAAAGTCCCCAGTTACCATCAATTGCGAATTGCCCTATATAAACAAAATTGAAGATAAAATTTGCTTGCTCGAATTCGCAGAGCGAAGTACTCAAGAAGTAGACTTAGATATGTCGTTTAAAGTCAACCTGCTGTTTTTTGTTTGGTTTTTCAAGTTATGATGGAATCTTCTCAATCATTCTTCTATCTTTAAACAGTGTTTAATTTATCGATTAATAACAATTTAGAGCAACAAACTAAACTAAAGTCTTTCTTAGAGACTTTATATATGTTTCTCTATAAGGTGTCATGTGCACTTTAAAGACGTCAAAAATGCTCGCACCTTTTAGGGTCTGGAATCGATACCTGAATAAATTTATGCGTACCTTTTAGGGTCAATTTCCAATTCGTCCGTCGAGCATACCTACCATGCTTTATAGGGAAGTCCTCCCCCTCGGGCAAGAACCTTTGGGCGATTTTCTCACTTACGAAAAATCGCCATCTTTTATTTTTAGYAATTCTGTAAGCACATTTTAACCATATATCATTTTTTAGCRAAAGAAATGATAGCAAAGGATCCCTGATACAAGAAGGCTTTTAGTTAACAATAAAAGTGGATATTCGGCGACGTACGTACCATCGCATTCCTCTTTCGTGCACTTTACTTCTTGCTTCTCAATACCATACRCATTTGTATTTCCACCACAATATTTTACATTTCCTGGATTATAACAGAATCGTTCCCGGGTTTTGTAGCATTTGTCATTACAYGGTGTAAATCCAGTCCAACGTGACCATCCGTAGCTTTGAACTGTATTGAAGTTACAAGCAATTTATATTTTAATGATACTTTTGAAAATATTTAGATAAAAGCTAAAATCAAAATTCGGCAAAAGAAAACAACAACATCAAATACAGAAAGAAAAGAATTA